TGACCAAAATACCCCCAAAACATTTCAGGGGGTATTTTGGTCAAATTATTTCATGTAAAATATTTTTTTTGATATTTTTTAAAGATTCACCTATTTTTATGAACACAGGTCTAAAATTTTAAGTGATTTAGATTTAAAAAAAAAAAAATTAATGAAATACTGACAGACATCTGTAACCGTCAGATCGGCCTATATCCAATCTAGGCCATTGGGCTCATATAAACTCATATGTTCATATGAGCCAGTGGGCTAATCCCAGATATTTCCATATATATATATATATATATATATATATTGTAACTATTATCTAGACTGTCCATTTGATACCTAAAAGTAAATGTTTATAGATCCTCAAGATCTGTTCCATTATTTGAGTTTCAAATTTTCTTCTCGTTGTTGGAAATTAATTTTAGACCCATCAAGGAGATTTCCGTTGTCCAAAAATGATTTCTAAATAAGAATTTGAGATGAGGCTTTTTTTTGTTTTCAATAAAGCTTATGCCTTACAGAAACTTCATCCTTTAAAAACGAAGACTTGGTAACTATGGTTTCTATAGGACTTTGGCTTTATGAAAACAAAATAAAGCCTCACCTCAAATCCTCATATAAAAAGTTCTTTGGGCATTGAAAATCGTCATGATGGTTTTATAATCAATTTTCAACACCAACAATAAATTTTGAAACTTAAAAAATAGTACATATTTTATGAATCTGTTAACCAATTATCAAATAGGCCTAGGTGGGTGGTCTAGGTGATTTGTTGCAATATACAGTATTTTTTTAGACTTGAAATCCTAATATTTTTTCACGACTATAATTCTCAAGCTGAGATGATCGATTGAAAGGTTTTTCAATACTTAAGTTGCAAATTTTGATGAGTTTATGAGGTGAGGCTTTAATATATATTATTTAAAATATATTATAGTGTTTAAAAAAACCAAGTCAGATCCGGATCGGATCCACGTATACCCGGATCAGACCCGAATTACTATTCATATCTACATTTTGGATTTGGATTCGAAACCTAAAATTCGGATTCAAATATTGGATCCATATCCATAACTAGATAGGATCTGAATTTTAGGTTTCAGATCTGGACCGAGTAAATTCGTATTCAAAATCTAGGCAATGGGGCGGATCATTCACCACATATCTCTGTCAAATCACTGGATCGACGATCTACTTCGGAATGGATCTATCTGAATTAGTAATCCAAAAAAATATTAAACATATGAAATAAAATAAAAAATAAAATAAAGGTTTATAGGGTGACAATTTAGAGATGACCTAAGGAAACATTAAATAAACTTAAGAAACAATAAGAAAAATATATGTTTGGGCATTTTAAGATGGAACTAGGCCAGGACATATATCTTCCCGAAACTAATTCAGGCACGACCAATTCCCACATGATTGGCAACCTAGATAAAAAATCGCCAAAGTTTTAAAACATTGGAATCACCAATCTTTTTGTTTAACTGACAAGCAGAAACTGGTTGAGACCACTTGGATCAGCAACTGATCTGTTTGGATTTGAAATAATGAATGGAATGAAGCAAAATGATATTTAATATTTTTTAAAAAAGGGAATATAAAGCGTCCATCTTAGACCATAGAAGTAAGGTACATCTCAAAAAGTTGCCAAAAAAAAGTTTTTTCTAACGATGAAAAACCTTCCAATTGATCATCTAAACCTTTATATATATATATAGATAAAAGTAATGATCCTAGAGACCCTCCACACCCATATGTGTAGGACCCCAAAGGATCACCATTAAATTTTGCATAGATCTATAGAAAAGTTATCACATGGGTGTGGAACTTGATTTTTTTAGAGATCTGTGCCAAATTTAATGGTGATCCTTTGGAGTCCTGCACACATGGGTGTGGGGAGGGTCTTATATGATCATTACTCTATATATATATATATACTATATATATATAATATATATATAATATATATACTCTACTATATAGTATATAGTAAGACT